ACACACACACACTGGGTAATGACACACACACACAACACTGGGTAATGACACACACACACAACACTGGGTAATGACACACACAACACTGGGTAATGACACACACAATGACACACAACACTGGGTAATGACACACACACAACACTGGGTAATGACACACACACAACACTGGGTAATGACACACAACACTGGGTAATGACACACACACACACACAACACTGGGTAATGACACACACAACACTGGGTAATGACACACACAACACTGGGTAATGACACACACACAACACTGGGTAACACACACACACTGGTAATGACACAACACTGGGTAATGACACAACACTGGGTAATGACACACACAATGACACAACACTGGGTAATGACACACACTGGGTAATGACACAACACTGGGTAATGACACACACACAACACTGGGTAATGACACAACACTGGGTAATGACACAACACTGGGTAATGACACAACACTGGGTAATGACACAACACTGGGTAATGACACACACACACTGGGTAATGACACACACAACACTGGGTAATGACACACACAACACTGGGTAATGACACACACAACACTGGGTAATGACACACACACACAACACTGGGTAATGACACACACACTGGGTAATGACACTGGGTAATGACACACACACAACACTGGGTAATGACACACACAACACTGGGTAATGACACACACAACTGGGTAATGACACACACAACACTGGGTAATGACACACACAACACTGGGTAATGACACACACAACACTGGGTAATGACACACACACAACACTGGGTAATGACACACACAACACTGGGTAATGACACACACACAACACTGGGTAATGACACAACACTGGGTAATGACACACACAACACTGGGTAATGACACACACAACACTGGGTAATGACACACACAACACTGGGTAATGACACTGGGTAATGACACACACAACACTGGGTAACACACAACACTGGGTAATGACACACACTGGGTAATGACACAACACTGGGTAATGACACACACACACTGGGTAATGACACAACACTGGGTAATGACACAACACTGGGTAATGGGTAATGACACACACACTGGGTAATGACACACACAACACTGGGTAATGACACAACACTGGGTAATGACACATCACTGGGTAATGACACAACACTGGGTAATGACACAACACTGGGTAATGACACAACACACTGGGTACACAACACTGGGTAATGACACACACAACACTGGGTAATGACACACACAACACTGGGTAATGACACAACACTGGGTAATGACACACACAACACTGGGTAATGACACACACAACACTGGGTAATGACACACACAACACTGGGTAATGACACACACAACACTGGGTAATGACACACACAATGACACACTGGGTAATGACACAACACAACAACACTGGGTAATGACACACACACACTGGGTAATGACACAACACTGGGTAATGACACAACACTGGGTAATGACACAACACTGGGTAATGACACACACTGGGTAATGACACTGGGTAATGACACACACACTGGGTAATGACACAACACTGGGTAATGACACAACACTGGGTAATGACACACACAACACTGGGTAATGACACAACACTGGGTAATGACACAACACTGGGTAATGACACACACAACACTGGGTAATGACACAACAACAGGGTAATGACACACACACACACTGGTAATGACACACACAACACTGGGTAATGACACACACAACACTGGGTAATGACACACACAACTGGGTAATGACACACACAACACTGGGTAATGACACACACAACACTGGGTAATGACACACACAACACTGGGTAATGACACACACAACACTGGGTAATGACACACACACACTGGGTAATGACACACACAACTGGGTAATGACACACACAACACTGGGTAATGACACACACAACACTGGGTAATGACACACACAACACTGGGTAATGACACACACAACACTGGGTAATGACACACACAACACTGGGTAATGACACAACACTGGGTAATGACACACACAACACTGGGTAATGACACACACAACACTGGGTAATGACACACACAACACTGGGTAATGACACACACAACACTGGGTAATGACACACACAACACTGGGTAATGACACAACACTGGGTAATGACACAACACTGGGTAATGACACAACACTGGGTAATGACACAACACTGGGTAATGACACAACACTGGGTAATGACACAACACTGGGTAATGACACAACACTGGAGGGGTTACATGCCAGTTCTTCTATTCTCGCCTCCATGATTAATTTATTATTGTAAATAAATGAGACAAAGTAAATTACGCTGGGCCCTGCTGGGTAAGTGACCCCCCACCACACACTGGTGTGACCCCCCCACCACACTGGTGTGACCCTCCCACCACACCTGGTGTGACCCCCCCACCACACCTGGTGTGACCCCCCCACCACACCTGGTGTGACCCCCCCCACCACACCTGGTGTGACCCTCCACCACACCTGGTGTGACCCTCCACCACACCTGGTGTGACCCTCCACCACACCTGGTGTGACCCCCCACCACACCTGGTGTGACCCTCCACCACACCTGGTGTGACCCCCCCACCACACCTGGTGTGACCCCCCCACCACACCTGGTGTGACCCTCCCACCACACCTGGTGTGACCCCCCACCACACCTGGTGTGACCCCCCCCACCACACCTGGTGTGACCCTCCACCACACCTGGTGTGACCCCCCCACCACACCTGGTGTGACCCTCCATCACACCTGGTGTGACCCTCCACCACACCTAGTGTGACCCCCCCACCACACCTGGTGTGACCCTCCACCACACCTGGTGTGACCCCCCCACCACACCTGGTGTGACCCCCCCCACCACACCTGGTGTGACCCTCCACCACACCTGGTGTGACCCCCCACCACACCTGGTGTGACCCTCCACCACACCTGGTGTGACCCCCCCACCACACCTGGTGTGACCCTCCATCACACCTGGTGTGACCCTCCACCACACCTAGTGTGACCCCCCCACCACACCTGGTGTGACCCTCCACCACACCTGGTGTGACCCCCCACCACACCTGGTGTGACCCTCCCACCACACCTGGTGTGACCCTCCACCACACCTGGTGTGACCCCCCCACCACACCTGGTGTGACCCTCCACCACACCTGGTGTGACCCTCCCACCACACCTGGTGTGACCCCCCACCACACCTGGTGTGACCCTCCACCACACCTGGTGTGACCCTCCACCACACCTGGTGTGACCCCCCCACCACACCTGGTGTGACCCTCCACCACACACCTGGTGTGACCCCCCCACCACAGCTGGTGTGACCCTCCACCACACCTGGTGTGACCCCCCCCACCACACCTGGTGTGACCCCCCCACCACACCTGGTGTGACCCCCCACCACACCTGGTGTGACCCTCCACCACACCTGGTGTGACCCCCCCACCACACCTGGTGTGACCCCCCCACCACACCTGGTGTGACCCCCCCCACCACACCTGGTGTGACCCCCCCCACCACACCTGGTGTGACCCCCCCACCACACCTGGTGTGACCCCCCCACCACACCTGGTGTGACCCCCCCACCACACCTGGTGTGACCCCCCACCACACCTGGTGTGACCCTCCCACCACACCTGGTGTGACCCTCCCACCACACCTGGTGTGACCCTCCACCACACCTGGTGTGACCCCCCCACCACACCTGGTGTGACCCCCCCACCACACCTGGTGTGACCCCTCCACCACACCTGGTGTGACCCCCCCCCCCCCCCACACCTGGTGTGACCCTCCCACCACACCTGGTGTGACCCCCCCCACCACACCTGGTGTGACCCCCCCACCACACCTGGTGTGACCCTCCACCACACCTGGTGTGACCCCCCCACACCTGGTGTGACCCCCCCACCACACCTGGTGTGACCCCCCCACCACACCTGGTGTGACCCTCCACCACACCTGGTGTGACCCCCCCACACCTGGTGTGACCCCCCACCACACCTGGTGTGACCCCCCACCACACCTGGTGTGACCCTCCACCACACCTGGTGTGACCCCCCCACACCTGGTGTGACCCCCCACCACACCTGGTGTGACCCCCCACCTCACCTGGTGTGACCCTCCACCACACCAGGTGTGACCCTCCACCACACCTGGTGTGATCCCCCCACCACACCTGGTGTGAGTGTTCTACGGACACAGACGAAGTTAACACACAGGCCGACATAAGCCTACATGATAACTGGCAAACTTAACACAAGCAGTTGACACTAAGACAAGTGATTACAACCAATGGTTCAGTATATGGAATGTAAAAAGTTACTAAATGTAAATTTGTGTAGCTACTTATTTTTTAATTATACTCTAACTTTTTTTATATTATAGTGTGTACTCACCTGGATGCACTTACCTAGATGTGCTTGCAATGTCGAGCTATACTCCTAGCCTCCCACCTCTTCCGAACGTTCTTAAATTAATGCAATGACATATTTCTCGCGCTTTTATCATATATACATTTAAAACTATGAATCGAATTAGCTCTTATACTGTACTGGAAAAAATCCTTCTGATGTCCCTGTGACTCATTTGTGTCTCGAGTTCCCATCATTGACCCCCTTGTTCTGCTGTTCCAAGCTTTGAACAATGCTGCTTTGTCTACTATCAATTTCCCTTAGAATCTTGTGTTATCATATTCCCCCCCCCCCTCTATCTCTCCATTTTTCTAGTGTGGTAAGATCCAGTTTCCTCTGTCTTTGCTGATAGCTTAAGCTCATCAACTCTGGAACGCGTATTGCTGCATATATCTGGACTTTTTATAGTTTCTCCTTGTGTTCGTGTGTGCATTCTTGTACGTGCATATGAGAGAGAGAGAGAGAGAGAGAGAGAGAGAGAGAGAGAGAGAGAGAGAGAGAGAGATACACAGGTAAATAGTTGATTTTATTTTTTCTACGTTTTGTAG